ATATATATATATTTCAAAATATATTGCCTTATGCATATATGCTTAGCGATTGAAAGTATCAGACGGATGTGTTTCTTAGGGTATATATACACAATTAATCTATTAAACTCATTTATAATTATTCTATTTTTATAAAACTGTATTAAATATTTTCAATGATGAATTAGACTATATAAAATCTAATAAAAACATATTTATAAATCTAATTTAATTATGAAATATTTAATATTGGAAAGAAGTTCTTTTTTCCTATTGAAAAGTTTAATAATCACCAAAATTTATATCCAACATAACATTTTACTATGGTAGAATTCTATATATTAATGTTTATACAAGATGTTCAATGTTCAAACCAACCACGACTTGTCTAAAATATTCTTATTGTTCCGTGATTAAGCTCTCATATATGCTTTTAGGCGGCAACTAATGTGGTATGGTTTATCAATTTCAATCTATTAAATGTCAACATGCATGTTATCTCACTCAACAATCTCACCGAACTACGCATTGTAGATGATTTTACTACATTTAGTATTATCGTTTAAAAAACCGTTTAATTGTAATGTAATCTTCTCGTTACCCAACATCGTATAATTAAAGGCAAATTAAATGGAGATTGTGTTTCTTGTTTTTTGCATTAAGATTATTTTGTCTATTAATTAAGACAATTAAAAACGAATAATGTTAAGGAGATGAATTATCAAAAGGAATATCAACGCGTCGGAGATTGGAAATACATTGAAAAGTTGTGTTGTGGGAAGCATGTCTTAAGCTTGCTTTCCTAAGCTAGGACAAGTAATAGTTATGTGTTTATATATACGAAAGGTTGATAAACAAGGCAAAAGGTTCACAATCATACGCTTCAGGACACATGATATAGGAAAACTTGAAGGATGATTAAACTTAGTCGTTATAGGGAACATGTGGCTGACTGCAAATTTAGCCAGGTTCGAATGTTGAAGGAAAACTTGTCTTATGCTGAAATAATCAAAGGGTAGAAGGAGAAAACATAGAGAAAGTAGTAGGTACAGAGACGGAGCGTAGTGAAATGTATATATGATAATCATATATAACTAATATTGCCTATTATATACATATATCTTGTGCAATACCAAGTACATTTATATTGAATGTTGATGCAAATTAAGATAAAAGGTGCTTATAATGTTTAAAATTGTTGATTTGCATAATTAGATCGTTGCCGGTGAAAAAGAGTTAAACTGGAGCCGATTGATGGATTGCAAGAAAGGATTTCTTGAAGATAAATCAAGTGCTAAATAAATTTCCGCACCGCAGTTCACCATAAGTACTCAACGCTTTAAGGTGTAGTTACTTGAGGAATATGTGAGAACAGAAATAAAAAAAATGAAATTTCATTAATATTGACTTAGGGGGTGTTTGGGATTGCTTTTAAACATCAAAAGTCCTTTTTGTAGAAGGCCTTTTTGTAAAAGGACTTTTTGTAAAATAAGCTCTTTAAAAAGTGTTTGGATTAGCAAAAGGACTTTTAACTTAATTTTTACATGTAAAATCATAAAAAGTCACAAAAAGTCAGATTTTTGTGACTTTTTAAAACCCCTCATTTTACTCTCTTCAAAAAGTCATTTTAAAAAGAACTTTTCTATTACCCAAACATCTTTTTGACTTTTTGAAAAAGTTAAAAGTCAAAAGTCATTCTAAAAGCTATCCCAAACACCTCTTGATATAAAAATATTCTTGTTGTTTCCGGTTGTCTTCTTAAAAAAAGGATTTTATTGTGTATTTACGATCCAAACTTGTTTCATATAATTTTGAAGACTAGTTAAAAAATTAGATGCTAACTGATAAAAAAAAATAACGTTTGGTAACACTAACTAATAAGGCAATTGAAATATATAAAATTACATAAAAAAGAATATAGAAGATTGAGTTATTTTATAATTAATAAAAGTTATTAAAAAACTCTCTCGATAGCTCATTGAAAAAGTAGTTTGAATAGATTAAAAAAAAATAGTTTTTAAGCAACTTTTTTTAAGCAACTTTTTGATTTGCCAAACACAACAATCTAAAAAAATCCAAAAAATAAATTAGCTTATAAAAAAGATATAGCATGTCAAACATAACTTTAAAGAGTTCCCAGCTGTTTATTAAATATTTAGAATAAAAGAAATACAAATTCTTGGTTTACTTGTTTGTATTTACATAAATTTTTTCTAAATTCTTGGTTTATATCCAAGGTCAAGTAATGTTAGGCTAGCTTATCTTCAAATTTCATACTAGTCTAGTTTTTGTTTTATTTAAATTTGTTGAAGGATATTGTATTATATAAAAAAAAAATCTAAAATAGTATTAATTATATTCTCAACATAGCACAATCATGGAATGAATCCAAAACACTCCCCAACTGAAATTCCAACAATTATACAAATGAATGGAATTGAATTCAACTCCCAACAACACCATAGCCCATTTGTACCTATGTCATGCATTGGTCTGTAAATTGGTCTGTAAATGAGGCAAATATCAATGGAACAAAAAATTGCAATCTTTTGTCCATTCAAAAAGGTGAAAAAACCATATATATGCAAAGGATGTAAATACCATTAATAACCCTACAACACTTATCCAGTCTCATACAGCCCCACGTAACAAACACAACCTCAAGAAAAACGGATAAAAAACAAAAACGATCATTACTCCAAACAAGAAAAAGAAACATCATTACTTACTAAGGTTAACAAGTATTAAGTATTGAAAAGATTCATCATAGTTCATCATAATACACATACATATTCTTTCAAAATCATTATAAAATTTACCTAATATGGTAAAGTCAAACCATCCTCTTTTCCCATTTACCAATCAGACCCATCAGGAAAGGGCTCAAGTGCATCTTGTTTCCCATTAAAATAAAACTCAAAAACCGCTTTCATCCTCGGTAATTTATCCGGATGATAATTCACATGAACAATAACCGGTTTCAACTTCTTCAAATTCTCATCTTTCCTCACTTCCTTAAACATCACCTTACTATTCATAAACATATACCTATCCATAGTCCTCTTCGAAGCATAAAGACCAATATACCCTGGATGCGAAGGAAAAAACAATTCCTCATTAAAAACTGCTTGATCCCACGCAGGTGGTGGTTTAGAGAGCCTCTCAGCCACACGATCCAACAATTCAATGGCTGGGATCGTTGGCCTCAAATAAAAAAACCCCGAATTATAAACCCAAATTCTCATTGTATGCGCGTATCTAGCCCACCCCATTGAAGGCTCATCAAACACATCGTTATACCCATAAGCTGTAAAGTTATCATGCCCATCTGACATGGACTCCACGTCAGCATCCCGGTAGATGAAATTGAAAGGGTTTTGTATGTAAACGATGTCCACGTCAGATAAAAGAACGCTGTACCCGAGTTGTAGGAATTCCCGTAAGATTCTGAATTTTAGACCGGAAACGGCGTGATTCCCACCGGATTTAGCAACGGAATCGATTCCTTCGTCTGGGTCACGTTTGTAGAACGCGACGTCGTTTTCTTTGCAAAAGTCGACGATTCCGTCGTCGAGAGCGACAACGAGGTAATTGGGGATTCCGGCTTTCTTGATGCTGGAAACGGAGACTTCTAACATGGATTTGACGTTGGAATTGGCTAATGCGACTATGACTTCTTTTTCGGTTGTGAGTTTTTCAAGGATTTTGGCGAGTCTAGGGTTTATGGTGGCGTCCGGGAGGATTGTAGGGTTTATTGTTGTGCCTTTTACTGTTCCAAATGGACCGGGTTTTTGTGGGTTGGATACGGTTGCAATTTGTTGATCGGAATCGGATTGACCGTTTTTTTGTTCAGATGCTTGTAATTTCACGGTTAAGTCCCTGACTTGTTTCTTTAATTCATCGTTTTTGTTGGATAGATCTGTTATTTCTGATTTTAGTTTGTTGATTTCTTCTGTTGATTCACATGAAGTTGATTCGATCTGAAAAAGGAAGAGGAAGAGGGTTTGTATATTAGGTTATGTAATTGGATTATAAAGTATAAACAGCTTATGCTTTTTTTGTAATAATTGAATAGGGGATGAATGAAAATTGAAAAACAATGTCAGATTTCTTTGTTGTTCAAATTAACAAGTAACATTAAGTAAGAAGCAAGTTTTTAGTTTTATTGTTGAACAGGGGATAATTTGAAAACAATGTCAATTTCTTCTTGTGGTTTTATACTCATACAAAGTATACAGATTTCATATTAAAGAACAAAACTGACTAACAAGCAAAACAATTATCATGCAACTAATCTGTAACATATTAAAAGTAAGTCTAAAAATATGGAGTTTGTTTACACTAGTAATGTTAATGATGTGTAATCACTTTAAAATGTAAAGGAACTTATTTAGGATGCTTAATTTCATGTTTAACTAAAAAAGGCCAAAAACAACCATTGAAGGCTTCATTACATTAAGTAAGTCTAAAAATGTGGATTTTGTTTACACTAGTAATGATAATGATCTGTAATCGCTTTAAAATATAAAGGAACTTATTTAGGATGCTTAATTTCATGTTTAACTAAAATAAGGCCAAAAACAACCATTGAAGGCTTCATTACATGTTCTCTTCCCCAATTCACCAACCCTAGTTGCCCTATATGGTAATGGAAAACATATACAATTACACCCTAACAAGAAAGCTAAATTTTGATTCTTGATGTCAGACAGAAGACCTTTCGTCTTAAACACAAATGAATAATGTTATTTATGAAAACGAATTTCCATTTGTAGTATTTGTAGTTAGACATTTCTAAGATCCAGATTAGTTTTACACTGAATAGGAACATGTTGCATTTCAAGTCAATGTGTATCTATTTTATATACAGGAAGGGAGTACACGAAGCTCTTGATTAAATAGATTCAATCCATTCACGGAATTCAAGAGAAACGCTTGATCCGATAAAAAGTCAAAGACTGGTTTTGCACAAAAAAAAAAGTCAACCAATTCTTCAAGTCAAGAAATTGTATTCCTAAGCAACCCATTCAAGCAAGCAAAATAAATACTGAAGATGGAGTAATTTCGTTTAACAATAGAACAGGAGTGACTATGAGTTCAGGAAATTGAACCTTTGGATTCGATTTGGAAAGACGGCGACTCCGAAAATGAGAAGTGGGATTAGATATATCGGAGAAGAGACCATGAGGGTATAATACTGCAAAGATGCATCCCAGTAGAACTCCGATAACAATCGCAACGGCGATTCTAGATCCACGAATCGATTGCGACGCGTTCGTTCCTCTACGACCCACAGGACCCGCCATTGTTCACAGCTTCGGATCTGTGGAGACTTTTGCCTCTCCAAATACAACGTACGACGGCGAAGCTTCGCCAAATGCTTCTAATGACAAAAGGATTATGGGGGAAATGCGAGCGAAACCCTAACAATGGTTTTGACGATTGTTCATCATGGGTTGTGTGCTAGAAATGTTGTACAGAAGGGGAAAGGGATTCGCTGTAGAGTAGATACAAGTTGAATGCCAGACGTGGTTGACTGTTCGTGCTTGGTAAGTTCTGAATCACGATTTAGAATTGTTTTTTTTTTAATCTTTATTTTTATTAATCCAATATTATATCCTTTGTAGTAAATCTTAGTTTAAAATATAATTTTATTTTATATCTATTAAAATTATTATCTTGATTAATTTCAATAAATTAAAATTAAAAATGACTAGCTATTTAATTTCTAGTAAGCAATTCGGCACTTGTTATAGTTTAAAAGATGTAAACTATAAAAAAAATATTATTAATATCGCACCAATGGTAATTCAAGCACGGTAAACTTGTAAATAAATAAACTTTGTTGTAAACATTTTATATTAAAAAATAATAAAAATTACTAATTTCAAGAAATATATAATGCGTTTAAGATTATTTACAGTAAAAACTAAGCATATTTAATACTATTTATTGTTCCCAAAAAATGCATTATACGTAATTTCTATTTTTGTTTGAAGAGTTTGGAGTTTGGTTTTAAGATAATCTATTAACGAAACAAAAAAAATAAAGCGTGTTCAATATATTTGTGATTTTTCAAGATATGTTAAGTACAAATTACAAAGTTATCGAGATAATTTTTTTAATTATGTGTAATATGGAACAAAAATACATAATTCTTTATACAAAACGTTAATAAACAATGTTTTAAAAATCAGTTTGAACCGGCCGGTCAAACCGGTTGTACCGGTATTCGGGGGTGAGAACGGTTCAACTATCACTGGTTTTACGTCGATTTCTGGACGATATTGAACCGGCCGGTTGAACCGGACAAAATAAACCGCTTGAACCGGTTAAACCGAATAAAAACACACGGAAAAAACCATTTGCATAATAAATTTTTATAAATTTTTTCGAATCTATGGAGTTTTCTCTAAATAAAAACATATTGTATATATTATAAAGTTTTTTTTTTGATGTGTTTGTATTCATCTAAAACTATATTTTGTTTCGGTATTATACTTTTTTTTTGACATATATGAATTAATGTAAAACACTGAAACTTATGGTTATGTGTTATTTTAATGCACTTTGAGTGATCCATACCTTATTTTTATGTATATATTTTTAATGTTTGAACTTGTAAACGTCAAATTCATGATTTATATATGTATCTATCTATAGGAAACTAGGAAAAATATGAAAATTATAGAAACCGATTGATCCGGCGGTCAAAGCGGTTGAACCGGAAACCGGTCACCATACGCCCATACCGGTTCAACTAAAAAGCTGGTTTTTAAAACATTGTTAACAAAAGCTCACTACAAGAAAATTTTGATTTAACTACGGAAAAATTCCGTAGCAAAAGCTGAAATTTCGTAGCTAAACCTAAATAACTATGAAAGTTGCTACAGAATTTGCCAATGAGATTCCATAGCAAGATTTCTTGTAGCAAAATGTTTAACTACGGAATTATAGTTCCATAGCAATTTTGCTACGGCCGTTGTTACGCCGTATATCCGTAGCAATTCAACTACTATACACTTCCATCATAATTCCGTAACAATGAATTCTGTAGCGAATTCTGTAGCTATTTTGTTCCGTAGCAAATTCCGTAGCCATTTTTCCGTAGCAAATTCCGTAGTCATTTGTTCCGTAACAAATTTCGTAGTCATTTGTTCCGTAGCAAATTCCGTAGTCATTTGTTCCGTAGCAAATTACGTAGCCATTTTTCCGTAGCAAATTCCGTAGCCATTCGTTCCGTAGCAAATTCCATAGCCATTCGGTCCATTACAAATTTCGTAGCTATTTGTTCCGTAGCAAATTTCGTAGTCATTAGTTTCATAGCAATAGGTTCCGGTGCAAATTTAGTATGATAAAAATATTCAACAAAATCCATTTTTCCAATCATAATATTCATAAAAATATATAAAATATAAATTT